GGCCCCAGGGGTGGCTCTGGAGCAGGTAGGTGGCAGGTACCATGGTCCCAATTCCAGTTGAGGTGACCTGGCCACCCACCCAATAACTCTGAGGCCTTCCATGATTCCCAGGCCAGCAGGAGGCCAGCACGCGTTCTGGGCTCTCCCCCCTGTAGAGCAGCTGGCCCCTGGCTGGGCCCCGGGCTCTTCCAGCTGGTGGGGCAGCTGGAGGCAGGGATGCCTGCATGGCCCAGGAATGTGTTTACTTCCCCTCTGTGCTGGGAGGAAACTGAGCAAGGCACCCGCTGGATTCTTCCTGCCAGAGCGGCAGGCCCTCCGCCTCCTCCCCACGCTGCACACAGCCTTCGGGGCAGCTCCTCTGTCAGCTGCACTGCTGGGGCCATCCTGCCTTACTGATCCCTCCACAGCTGGGGCTATCCGCTGCTGTGAGGCTTTTGGATGGAGCTCTGTGCTCTGTGTCTAACCTCAGTGAGGCCCTAACAAGTCCCCTTGCCTGCTGCGGCCTCCATTCCCACTTTCTATGATAAGCACCTGGGCGAGAGCACAGTGGCTGCAGGCATGGGCTGTTGCTCACCTGGCTATGATTCCAGGTGCCGAGGATATGGTAGCAAACAAGCCAGGGGCAGTCCCTGGCCTCAGTGAGGGAGATGATGGCTGAAAAACTCCTAACCATGAACTGTGGGCCAGGCTTAAGAGGAGGTGAGAGAAGGAAGAGCCTGCTCCAGACAGGGGTCCGAGAAGGCCTCACCCAGAAGGTGACTTGCACTGAGATGTGGCTAAGGAGACAGTTGTCTCCTAAGGGCAGAGTAGGGTTGGGGGGCATTGCTGGGGCCAGTGTGGTGCAAAGGCTGGGTTGGGACATGGGGTCAGGAGTGGGTCCCACCATTTACTGTGCTCGGAAGGGGTCTTGACTTCTCTGTCATTGTGAATTAGTGATGCTATGTCATGTGCAAGCTGCTCCTGCAGAATTCATCACACAGTGCCCCCCTGCCCATTTCAGGGCCTCCCAAAGAATGAGCGCTCCATCAGTGGCAGGGAGGGGCTGGCATTGTGGCACCGCAGGTTAAGCTGCTGCTTGCAGCACTGGCATCCCATATCGGAGCACCACTTCGGCTGCTCTGCTTCTGATCCAGCTCCCTGACAATGTACCTGGAGCAGCAGGAGATAGTCCAAGTGCTTAGGCCCCTGCCAAGCACGTTGGAGACCCAGATGGAGTTCCAGGCTCTTGGCTTCAATGTGACCCAAGCAGGTTGTTGTGGGCATTTGGGGAGTGAACAAGCAGATGGAAGATCTCATCTCTGTCTCTCTCTGCCTTTCAAATGAAATAACCAACCAATCTTCAATTTGCAAATCTGTAATGTCATGTCAAGGAGCTGGAGAACTTGGGCAACTTCTTCTCAGGCATCTTCAGAAAATGGCTGGGATGTGTGGACAGTGGGTGGGTCCTGTCAGTGGCCCTGAGGGAACTGGGGAAGAGAAGTGTTTCCTGGGACAGAGACCTTGGCTCATAGGTAGACTGGCTGGATCCAAGGATTTCCCAACATCAGGTGATCACCGTATTCCAACAATGAAGTGCCCTGCAGGGGTTTTAAGCGCCTGTCTCCCTTGTTATGTGAACCTTGCCATTACCCTTTGCACAGTGAGGAGAGAATTCCAGCCTTGGATGGGAGATGCATGTATCTGGGGTGGAGGGGTGAAGAACATGGGAAGTTCAAAGAGATATTGTGTCATCAGTGGGGACTAGATTTGCCCGCAGGCAGTAGAGGCCCAAGGCAATACTGGTTTCCATGCACACAAATTCACTTCCTTCCTCCCATAAGAGATAGAGATGGGTGGTCCATGGCTGACATGGGGCCTGTGCTCTTCCATCCACGTCTACCTGCCCGACTATGTGGCTCTCATCCCCGTGGTCTGAAAGGGTGGCCATCATGTCCACATCCCAGGAAGCAAAATGAAAGAAGGGACGGAATCAGATAAATGAAAGGATGAAGATGGAGAGGGCAAAGGATCTCACTGGCCAGAAATGAGTCACCTGGCCATGCCTAGTGGCAAAGGGGCATGGGAAATGTAGTCTTTATTCTGGGTAGCCATGGTTCTGGCTAATAAGCCCATGTTTGTGGAAAGGGAGAATGGATGTTAATGGACACTAAGCCGTCTCTGCCACAGATGCTGTTTCTGACCCCTTTCAAGTTAGAAGTCCATGAGTTTGTGACTCTCATTCCTCTAGCATGATAGCCAAGGTCTCAAGCCTTGCCCTTGACCCTAAGCAGGTCTCTGAGTGGAATGGACAGGCGAGACAGCTGAGAGCTGGCTCAGAGAGACGCTGCCAACAGGCAGGGACAACCTCTCCATTCTCCATGCTGACTGAGCCCATCCTGGGATTTGGAAGCCGCTCACCAGAAACAATGCAAGCTCAGCAACGTGCAAATTGCCCTCCCGGTGAGGGGGGAGGTGGAATGTTCTCTCCTTGGCTTTCACAAGCGGATGATCTGTGAAATGTACACTTGCAGGGTGTTTCCGCATCCATGCAAAAGGCCAAGCTGCTGTCCCCTGTGGTGGGAATGGCCTGGATTTAGCTGCTTGTGTGAAGGGATTCATCCCGGAATTCGGAATCTGGAAAGTGCTGACTGCCAGCTGAGCGCATATGGTGTTCAGTGTCTGCCAGCCCCTGCTGGGGCCCCCTTGTGTTTCGGCTCCTCCACCGCCCGTTTGGTTACATCCCCTGCTTTTCTTCTGAAGAACTTTTAGTCCCGCGTGGTTCTGCTGGGGTCAGCTCCATCCTTTCTTCTCGCCCAGGAGGCGGGTGCTACACCTAGGCGTGGCAAAAATAACACACGACAGCATCGTAGCCCAGTCTGGATCATTAAGAGACAGGCCTAGGGCTTTTGCTGAAATTACTGGGGAACAAGGGAAAGCACGAATTTTCCATTGTGGTTGCTAGGCTGATAAGATGCACATCTGGGGTTGCACTGTGTAGAAAGAGCTTGCTTGAGAGTGAGGGAGTGAGGCCAGCGTGGAGGACAGCAGAGTAGAGAATGAAGAGTGTGGCTCATTCCTAATGACATTACTTGGGCCCTTGGATTCAGCCATGCCTGAAGTTTAAACACTCCTGATTTTCCAGTATCTGAGTCAATGTATCACATCTCTCTCTCTCTCTCTCTCTCTCTCTCTCTCTCTCTCTCTCTCAAGATAACTTGAGCTGGGTTTCTGTCCTTGCAAAGAAAATAGTCTCCACTGGCACTACACCGGCACTGTGGCGTAGTGGGCAGGGCTGCCACCTTCAGTGCTGGCATCCCATATGGGTGCCAGTTTGAGTCCCAGCTGCTCCACTTTTGATCCAGCTCTCTGCTATGGCCTGGGAAAGCCGTGGAAGATGGCTCAAGTCCTTGGGCCCTTGTACCCACGTGGGAGACCAGGGGGAGCATCCTGGCTCCTGGCTTCGAATTGGCACAGCTCCGGCTATTGCGGCCATCTGAGGAGTGAATCATTCATGGAAGACCTCTCTCTCTCTCTCTTTCTCTCTCTACCTCTGCCTCTCTGTAACTCTGCCTTTCAAATAAATAAATAAATCTTAAAAAAAAAAAAAAAAAAAGAATGGGGCGTCATCCCAGGTGCCTGATGCACTTGCTTCTTGGCTTCTTCCACAGGGGGCGAGCTGGGAGCCTGAGGAGCAGGCCTACTTTGACTGTGGTGCCAGCAGTTCTCCTGTGTATCTGTGCTGTGCCCCCAAAGGAAGGTGAGGGCCATTTTCCTTCTGCAATCGTGAGTCACCGCTTGCCTTCTCACTTGCTTTCATCAATAGAATGTGGCTTAGGCGATGCTGTGCCAGTGCCAAGTCAAGACCTAGCACTGCTGCTTTGGCTGTCCTAGAGCTCTGGGCTGCCACCTCCAGGCATCTGAGTGTCCTCCTGGAGAGATCATGGGAGACCCAAGACTTTGCATCCACACAGCGGCCGGCACCAGAGGTGCGAAGGAAGCCACCTGGGACATTCCAGCCCCAGCCAGGTTCCTGGGGGTGGGAGAGGGGTCCTAGCCAACAAAGTGATGCAGAAGCATCACTTGGACAAGGCCTGCCTATCTATCGATAGAGTCATAAGAAATTTAACAAAAATGCTCTATACAGTGGTCACTGACCAACACATCCTCTTGGGCTACTCTGGAATCTCAGCTGTGTCACTGGGGACCCCACGGATATGAAGAGCTGTTGAGAAATGATGGTGGTGGGCACTCACCTTAAGGGGACAGAGGGGCCACTCAAGGTTCCATCCCAGAAGCCTGACAGCTTGGGATGCAAAGATTGTGTTGTGGTCATTCACAGATCTGCAGCCCAGCCGCCTTCAGTGATGGAGGGGTGAGCAAGGGGCCTGGCTGCCCCCCAGGCAGAGGTGGCCACAGGCACAGGGTTGGGGGGAGCCCTACTGCAGCTCCCCTTGGGGCAAGTACAGGGAGAGAGAGGCCCACAAGGGCTAGGCTGTAGTGGAAGGCCAGGAACAGCCAGCCTGGGGAGGGGCTGTGAAATCACAGACTACGGAGTCCTTATAGCTTATTAGGCCTGGGAGGTGGAGAAGCTTGGCTACGTTTTTTCTTTTTTAATTACTAAAAGTGTTTATTTGTGGGGCTGGTGCTGTGGTCCAACAGGTTAAGCTGCCGCCTGCAGTGCCAGCATCCCATACGGGCACTGGTTGGAGTCCCAGCTGCTCCACTTCTGATCCAGCTCCTGCTAATGGCCTGGGAGAGCAGCAGCAGATGATTCAAGTGCTTGGGTCTCCGCACCCATGTGGGAACTCCTGGCTTCAGCCTGGCCCAGCCCTGACTGTTGCAGCCATTTGGAGAGTGAAGCAGCAGATGAAAGATCAGTCTCTCTCTCCCTTTTTCTGCCTTTCACATAAATAAATAAATATTTAAAAAAAAATACCATGGCACAAAAACTTAAAAATTTTTTTATGTATTTTCATTTTACTTGAAAGAGAGGTGAGAGAAAGAGAGTGATATCTTCCATCTTCTGATTCACTTCCCCAAAGCCCACAGTAGCCAAGGCTTGACCTTGTCAAAGCCAGGAGCCTGGGACTCAATCTCTGTCTCCCAGGTGGGTGGCAGGGGCGCGTGCACTTGAGCTGCCTCTCGGAATGTGCCTTGACAGGGAGCGGGACTGGAAGTGGAGGAGCTGGAACTTGAACCAGGCACTCTGATAGGGCATGAAGACGTCCCTTGCAGCTTGGTGTCATGGTCTAGCTGAAGGCCCTGCAGGGGAGCCCACTGCTCTCTCTGGGGCTATAACCTCGCCTTGACTAACAGGGCCTTCTTTTGTCTTCGGTCCCCAGGAGCTTATCCTGCACTGCCAGCTGCTATCAGAAAGCAGCCCTGGGTGGCTCTGTTTGCAAGGGCAGAACCCAGACAAATCCTCCCGGGACTGAGGGGTGGGGGTGGGCTGCCTGGGGGCCCAGGACTGAGAGGATGCTAATGTGCCTCTGGCACTTGTGAAATCCACCCCCAACCCCCTACAGTGAGGCTGAAAATCTCCAGGCTTCACTCTGTGCAGGCTGCCAAGGTCACCGGCTCTATCCTGCTGGGTGGCTAAGGCTGTGCTCTCTGCTGCCCTCTTCTGGGTACTTGCTGCCTCGCAGATGCAGAAGGAAGCTGAGCCCAGCAGCCGCCTGTGAGCAGCTAGCTCCATCTTTGTGCCCACCCAGGGCTGCAGGCCGGCCGGGCGTGGCTGCTGCCGGGGTGAGGCACTGGGATTCACTGCCTCCTCGATGCTTGTTGCTGGTCTGACACTTGGTAGATGACCCACGGAGGGAAAATGAATGTGTGGTTCGGGTCACAATCAGAGGGGAACGAGAACCCTAGGAGAGGGAGCCCTGAGCTTGTGGGACAGGCAGGACTGGGGATCCCCGGAGCTTGCTCTGTATCCATGCACTATCCTGGCCTTTCTTGCTGATCATCAGCAGACTTTCCCAGCGACTGGGCCCCACAGCAGGGCAGCGGGACCAGGCTGGGAAGACAGGCAGCTAGGGGCCTGCCTCAGCTCACAGCCCTGCCCGATTGTGCTGAGCTGGGCACGCCTGGGCGGAAGATGACACAGCTACAGACACACCCGGGATCCCGGGTGGTGGGCGCCCCGGACGCCTGCTCACCACCTCCCGCTTCTGCCCTGCTGCGTCATCCCCCTGCCTGCTCCCCTGCTCCGAGAGAGGTGAGGATATGGAGGTCCAGGGGGGTTGGGACTGTGTCCACATGAGTCCTGCTCATTCTCTCCAGTTCCATGGAGGCTGCTCTGTGCCTCTCAGGAGGACAGGGCTCCCACATGGCCACAGCTTGTCCCCTCTCCTCTAGCCACTCAGTGCAGAAGGAGGGACATGGAGAAGCAGGAAGTACACGCTAGAGTCAGGCCAGGGTCCTCCCCAGCTACCCCCTTCTCTAGCACTGAGACCCTCCCCTCCCCCTCCCTGAAGTGGCCTCACCCAGGCTCCCTTCAACCCCTGTTTGAGTTAAGATGTTCCCCTCTCTGGCCCTGGCCCCAGGGGTGGTTCTGGAGCAGGTAGGTGGCAGGTACCATGGTCCCAATTCCAGTTGAGGTGACCTGGCCAGCCACCCGATAACTCTGAGGCCTTCCATGATCCCCAGGCCAGCAGCAGAAGGCCCACGTGGCTTAGTGTGGCATTCAGGGCCTTGGGCCATTCAGCCCTGGTGCCCTCCCAGCTCTGTTCTCCCGCTCGGAGGCCCACAGGGGTGTTTAGTCCTCTGGAAGGTCTCCCTAGTGGCTTGTAGCCATGTGAGAGTGGGGCCTTTGTCCATATTGCACCCCCAGGGTTTTCCCTGGCCTGACACATACATTGGGCGGGGGTGGGGGACATAGTCACTGAAAGGAACTGAACTAAGTTGTTGTTTTGTTTTATTTTATTTTATTTATTTTTTTAAAGAAGTTATATTTACTACTTTATTTGAAAGGCAGAGTGAGGAGGGGGGAAGAGAGAGAGAGAGAGAGAGAGAGAGAGAGAGAGAGAGACAGACCTTCTATTAACTAATTTACTCCCCAAATGGCTGCATCTACCAGGGTTGGGACAGGCTGAAGCCTGGAGCCTGGAACTCCATCCAGGTAGCCTGTGTGGGTGACAGAAACCCCAACACTTGGGCCATCTTCTCTGCCTCCCAGGTGCATTAGCAGGGAGCTGGGTTGGAAGTGGAGCAGTGAGGACTTGAACTGGTGCTCTAAGATGGGAAAGCAGCTTAAGCCACCGTGTCATAGTGCTTACCTTGGAAATGGACTGGTTTGATCAAACCCATTTCCTCCCGTAACAACAGGAAGTGTTCATTCACATGTATGCTGGCCAGGCACTGTGCCAAATGCACCCCAAGGTTGCCTTGCAGTCAGGAGTGCTCTGGAGGGGAGGAGATGCTGCCATAAGGCCCATTTTCTTTTTTTTTTCTTTTATTTATTTATTTATTTATTTGACAGGCAGAGTGGACAGTGAGAGAGAGAGACAGAGAGAAAGGTCTTCCTTTTGCCGTTAGTTCACCCTCCAATGGCCGCCGCAGCTGGCGCACCGCGCTGATCCGATGGCAGGAGCCAGGTACTTCTCCTGGTCTTCCATGGGGTGCAGGGCCCAAGGACTTGGGCCATCCTCCACTGCACTCCCGGGCCACAGCAGAGAGCTGGCCTGGAAGAGGAGCAACCGGGACAGAATCCGGCGCCCCGACCGGGACTAGAACCCGGTGTGCCGGCGCCGCAAGGCGGAGGATTAGCCTAGTGAGCCGCAGCGCCGGCCAGGCCCATTTCCTAGATGCAGGAGCTGAGACCCTTGTTCCAAGTCATACCCAGGCTTGCAGCCAAGCCCAGACGATGAGGTTTGCCCCCTCAGCTCTGCCTTGGGTGCCTGCTAGGTGTCTGCCTGCTTTCCTGGCTCTCTCTTTCCCCCGCCCTCCAGTGTCTGGGCCCCAAGCCCTTTCTGTTCTGTTCCCAGTCAGACTGAGCCCCAGGGTGTGGCAGCGCGGGGCGGGTCTCCGGCAAGCATCAGGTCCCTGCCTGTGACCGAACGTGCCAGGGCAGCTGCAGGATGGGCTCTGTCGAGAACGGGCATACACCTGCTCTTTCACGTGGCTACACAGGTTTCAACGGGTTGATTTTAGGGCCTCAACTTAAGTTCCTGAAATGAGTTTGAACTGATGCAGAACTGGGAGACTTGGCCTGGGAATTGGGGGCCCCAGGTGCTATTGTAGCTGTGGGACCTTGGGCAGAGGAGCTCAGCTTGCCAGGTCTGTACAATGGGCATCGATACATCTACCTCACGGTGCTACTGGGAGGAATCAACATGAGCTGTCATCTACCCAGCCACGAACGGAGGGTGAGGGGTTATTATGGGGTTGGCAGTGGCCTAGTCCAGAGGCTGGGAGGGGTCCCCGCACAGGTCTTTCTGGTTAGGGTGTATGCAAGGTGGGTGGAGTGGGAGAGGTACAAAGGGAGCCCTGCAGGTAGGTGGGGCCCCTGGGAGCTGCTGAGTCACTCACTCTTCTTCTCTTTGTAAAAGGTGTCTTAATTACTTTTTTCTGCTTGCAAAAGCAGTACGGGCTTGCCGTATAAAGTTCCAACAACCCTGAGAGGCCGGGGTAGAGGACAGCTTCCCACGTGGTGCTCGTGACCTACGGGCCGGTGTTCTTGCAGGCTTCCTCGTGAAGTGTGCGTGTAATTTACTCAGCAGAGGCAGGAGGAACTGGTGGCGGATGCGCCCTCCCACCACGCCTCTCTGGACCCTTTGCTGTTGGCGGCTTTGAACTCTTCCTATGCGGTTTCATCTACGAGTGGGCAGTGCCGCTGAGGCAGGTGGTAACCGTGACAGACACGGAGGCCAGCTCTGCCCAGGTCCCAGTCCTGGTCCCAGTCCCAGTGATCACTAGCTGAGCAGCTGTGGGTGGCTTCCTCCACCTTTCTGAGTCTGCTTTCTGCCTCTGGAGAGGTGTGAATCACGACTCATGACACCTTCTTCAAAGCCTGCTTGTGAGAATTCCGGGACTTGAGGTTCCCGCAGCCAGGAGCAGCTGTGAGCGAAGAGGAAGAGCCTCCGTCTGCCTGCCCCCTCCCCCGCCCGGAGGGCTCCCGCTGCTGTGCACCCATCCTGTTTGCTTGGCAGGCAGAATTACTTGGAGAGATTACTCAGAGGGATGCTGACATTTGCATTGGAGATGAGGAGTCTTGCATTTAGATTCAGAGTTGGTTGCACAAGTGTAGGCTGGGAGAAGCCCCGATTTCCCCGGGGCTGAATCACAGCCTCCCCCAGCCACTGGCTGCAGCCCTGGCTGGGTGAGCGGGGGGCTGAGCCAGGCAACAGGGGAGGAACGCTAAGTGGCCTCACCCTTCCTTCCCTTCCAGCTGCATGCGCGGTGGTGTCTACCCTGAAATGTCTGTGACGTCTTCCTCCCAAGCTCCACTTTCCTTCTCCCCAGCCCCGCGTGGCCCTCCCATGTCCCCAGCCCCAGGTAAGGCACCAGATCTGCCATGTGCTGACGCCAGAGCCAGGCACGGGAGGGGCCGCCGCTGCCTGCTCCTGCGGCAGAGCCCCTTCCGGCCAGGCTCTCGGTGCCCCGCAGCTAGAGCACATGCTGACAGTGGATGCTGACTGCTTGAGAGGCAGTGTAATGGGTTGAACGGTGGCCTCCCCAAGGATAGGTCCACGTGCTGGGTCCTGGAATCTTATTTGGAATGAGGTTCTCTGCAGACATCATCTTGAGAGGGAGGGATTGTCTTTGATGGCTTGGGCGGGCTCTTAATTCTATGACAAGGGCCCTCATAAGAGACACAGATGCAGAGATCTGATTTGGAGAGGAGGAGGCAAGGTGGCCCTAGCGGCAGAGGCTGGAGTGGCGCAGCCCCTGGTCGAGGAAGGTGTGGAATCACCCAGGCCCACGAGGCCAAGGGCAGAGGCACCCCTAGAGGCTGCGGGGCACTTGGCCCTGCTGATGCCACCCTGGGACAGATTCCTGCTGTTTTAAGCCACCCTGTTTGCCATGGTTCGTGTGGTAGGCACAAGTAATACACAAATGTTAAAAATGTCAAAACTGGAGTGTGCGTTTGGCACAGAAGTTAAGACCCTCCTGCCTCCCGCGGTGGGTGCCTGGTTGGAGTCCTGGCTCTGCTCCTGATCTCAGCTTCCTGTTGATGCGCACCCTGGGAGGCAGCAGGAGCTGGCTCAGGTACTTGGTTCGCCGCTGCTCACATGGGAGACTTGGATGGAGTTGCAGACTCCTGGCTTCAGCCAGCCCCAGCCCTGGCTCTTGTGGTCATTTGGGGGAGTGAACCAGCAGATGGAAGACCTCTGACTATCTCTGTCCTTATTTGCTTTTTAAATAAAATGAAAATAACTAAGAGTTACAGCAAAAAAAAATCAAAGCAATATAGAGGCACATTCCTATTTTTAAAATGTCAAAATGATGTAAAATGTATATGCTGAGAATGCTGTTTTTATAGGCAACCACTTGTATTAGGTTCTTTTTCAGTTTTCCGATAGATGCAAAAAATAAAGGACACCTTTTGCTTTCTTGCCTGTCCTGTTGGAGTTATCTTTTTTTTTTTTTTTAATTTAATTTGACAGGTAGAGTTAGACAGCGAGAGAGACAGAGAGAAAGGTCTTCCTTCCGTTGGTTCACCCCCCCAAATGGCTGCCACTGCCGGAGCTATGCTGATCCGAAGCCAGGAGCCAGGTGCTTCCTCTTGGTCTCCCATGCAGGTGCAGGGCCCAAGCACTTGGGCCATCCTCCACTGCCCTCCCAGGCCACAACAGAGAGCTGGACTGGAAGAGCAGCAACCGGGACTAGAACCCGGCACCCACATGGGATGCCGGCGCCGCAGGTGGAGATTAACCAAGTGAGCCACAGCGCCAGCCCCTGGAGTTATCTTTTTTTATATTTATTTATTTGAAAGTCATAGTTACAGAGAGAGGGGAGAGAGAGAGAAAGAGAGTTCTTCCATCCTCTTGTTTACTCCCAGATGGCCACAACAGCCAGGGCTGGGCCAGGCTGAAGCCAGGAGCCAGGAGCTTCATCCAGGTATCGTACGTGGTTGGCAGGGGCTCATTTTTTTGCTACTTTTCCAGATGTATTAGCAGGGAGTTGGATGGGAAGTGGAGCCACTGGGACTTGAACTGATGCTCATATGGGATGCCGGCATCACAAGTGATGGTTGAACCTGCTGCGCCACAATGCCAGTCCCAGGAATGATAATCTTTCAAGTGTCCCTCTGACTGTGTCCCTTGCTGCCCTCAGAGGAGATCCAAACTCCCAAGTGACCCACATGGCCCCACTGCCCCTGACCCTGTGCCTCTCTTACCCTGTCCCATAGCCCCTTCCACTGCAGGCTTTAGCCCACTGACCTACATGAAGATTGCTGACTCCTTCTGCGTGGGTCTGTGTGCTGTCCTCACCGTGCCTGGACCCCTGGACCCTTCAGTCCCCACTGTCTTCGGTTCTCTGGTTGAATGTCGCTTCCCCTGGGAAGCCCTCCCTGACTTCCCAGTTTATTCCTGCCACTTGTTACGGTGCCTGCTCACAGTGTGTAAAGTTCTGCATTCCACTGAGTGCATCCCAAAGTCAAACTGACCCAAACACATTGGCCCCTTTGTGTCTGCCTGTGCCAGACTGTCTGTTTTTGGAGCTGGGGTCTGTTAGGTTCAGCCCTCCCTCCTGGGTACCCAGCAGCCCTTCTGTAAACACTTTCTCTGTAGAAATGTGACACACACAGAAGAGTACCCAGGGCCCAGGGAGTCCTCTAAAGTGGTAGCAGTGTGGTGCGTCATTGTCAGTGCTGATGGCTGACAGCTTGTAGTGGATTCTCAGGGGGCTCCTCCCCAAAGATGCAAAGGAGTCTCAGGATCAGGGCTTGATGGTGCAGGGCCTAAACTCGGTCTCCGATGTCCACAGCAGGCCTTGGAACAGCAGAGCCAGGGAGGGCAGTGCACGGCCTGAGAGCCTCTGCCGGCTGCCCCTGCACAGCAAGCAGCTGGTCTCTGGACAACAAGAGGAAAGGACCAGAGGAACAAGAGGAAGGGACAGGGAAAGGGACTCCTACCAGCCACAGCTGACCGGGACTGGCTGGTGAGGTGGTGAGGCTCCTGTCACTGGAGGCATGCAAGCAGATGAGCATGACCTCTGTAGGAATCGTGTGGGGACCTGCCAGGTTCTTTTCAGAGGAGCAGGTGGCCTTGCCTGCCCCTGCTACACGACAGAGGCTGTTGGCGTGCAATGCAAGGACCAGTGGACATGGGTCCCTTCTTCTGGCCACCGCCCTTTTGTGGCAATGGCCTTGGCTTGCATGGGCTGTCCCGAGGCCTCCAGGCCAGTGGAGATGTCTAACCCCACACGGGCCTGCTGCCCTCCTCCTGGCCTGTCTCTGGTTAAGGTTGGTAGCTCTGTGTTCAAGGCCTTTGTCTGAGACCCTTCCACCTCCTGGGGGTGGCCCGATGGGCAACCTTAGGGTACCCCGAGAGGGGTAGAGAGAAAGAGAGAGAGAGGGAGAGAAAGAGAGAGAGAGGGAGAGAGAGAAAGGGATGGAGAGGGAGGCAGCTCTTTGGAGGCCCAGGGACTTTTCTCCCTGGAGGATAAACAAGCCAACTCTATCACGCTAGGCGCCAACTCCTGCCAGGCACAGAGGGGCTGCTGCTTCCGAGAGCAACAGCATCTTGGGATCCTTGAGCTGATCCTGGTGGGTGAGGTCTCCCAGGGCCTCCTTCCCAGGCCCAGGCAGCTGGGAGCTCTCCTAGGAGCTGGAGAAACCAGGCTGTGCCCTGTCCTCGCCAAGCAGCCATGGGAGGGACCGTGTCTGGGCACGGGGCTGGCACTGGACTCTCCTAGGTTTGCCTTGTGATGGGGCTGCTTACCAGCTGCAGACCCTGGGCATGTTCCTGATGCAATGAACCTGGGCTGTGTCTCTTAACTGGCAGGTGGGTGTTGTGACTCAGATCATCTGTGTAAGATTGTTGAGCCCAGCAAAGTGTAGGTACTATTATTATGATAGTTATTTTAATTTGAGAGGGAGAGAGAGAAAATGAGTGAGCTCCCATCTGCTGGTTCCCTCCCCAAATGCCTGCAATGACCAGGCACCCTGGGCCGAAACTGGGAGCCAGGAACCTGATCCAGTTCTCCCAGTGAACGACAGGAACTCAGTCACTTGAGCCCTTAGCAGGAAGCTGGAATTGGGAGTGGAGCTGGACTGGAACCCAGTCACTCCAATATGGGATGCAGGTGTCCCAAGGGGTGGCTTAACCGCCAAGCTGCACATATGCCCTATTATTATTTGAATAATAAGTATAATTTGACATCTCTTGGTCTCTGTAAAAGCACAATGACAACATGTGTCTCATAGCAGGGATCACATGTGGTCATGGGACAGAAAGTGCGTTTTGAAATGCAGAATCCTCCCAAATATGGTAGAAAGGTGTTGCAGGTTGCACGGATAGTAAGTCCTTGGAGGCAGGGAAGTCTGTCCTTCTGGAGTAAGCCACAAGAGGGCACCCCCGGCCCTTGCTTTCATCTTGCCCCTTCCTGTCCCCTCCTACAGGGACCTGGCCCAGGGCTCCCGGAAGTCCGTGAAGGAGGTATAGAGCCGCCTACTGGGGAGAGCGTGGGTCTCGGGCACTGCCTGGAGGATGCACCGCTGGGCCTGTCCCTGGGGGCTGGCTGCGCTCTCTGCAAGGCAGAGGCCGTGGCGTGGCATTCTGGTGTGTGTTTGAAGCTGTTGCCGCTCAGAGGGCCTCGTGGGGAAACGGGCTGTGCTCTGGGTTTCTGCACGTGGCATGCATCACCGCACAGTGTGGGCGCTTGGGGTGTCGTCGTGCTGTCGCCCAGCCCCAGGTCCACAGAGGTGCAAGCAGGGCTGAGGTGGCTGCTTCTGGGGTTCACTGTTCCTCCTGTCCACCCCCATGGCACTCTGTGAGCTCCACCTGCCAGCCGGCAGTAAGTCCCCAGTGTGCAGTGGCAAGGACAGGGACTGTGAGCTTGGAGAAGTCCCTGTGTCAGGAAACCAGGGCATGTGGGCCTCGGCCTGTGCCCGTGGCTGCCTGGTAGCCGCAGGCTGGGTCTTCTCACTCTTCCCCGCACCCACCTGGAAACTCAGACTCCTGGGCAGGTAGGCGCCTTCCACTCGGCCTGGGCTAGGGGTAAAGCAGAGGGGCTGGGAGGCCCTTGCGCCTGGAAACCATCACATAAAAGCTTGGTTTCCCCCAGAAATGTGGCAGACTTTGGCGGATCACGCCAGGGCAGGATAACTGCTTGAAATGTCCTTTTGTGAGGTGGGCATTCAGCCTCGTGGTTAAGGTACTGGTTAGGATGCCCGTGTCCCGTGTCAGAGTGCTTGGGTTCGAGTCCTGGCTCTTGTTCCTGATTCTAGCTTCCAGCTGATGCAAACCCTAGCAGGAAGCCGTGATGGCTCAAGTAGTTGGGTCCTTGCTACCCTGTGTGGAGGACCTGGACTGAATTCCTGGGCTCTCTGCCGCGGCCCTGGTCATTGTGGGCATTTGGGGGAGTGGCCCAGTGAACGGGAGCTTTGTCTGTGTCTCTGCCTCTAGAGTAAAAATAAATTAAAATACATTTTTAAAAAGTGCCTCTGTGCCGGCCGTGATGCCTGTTCCTGCAGGCCCTGGCTGAGGCCCAGAGGTCACCGTGGAGCCAAGCTCCCATGAGAGGTGCAGACTGGCCTCTGTTTTCAGACTCTGTCTTTCCCACTTGACCTGCTCGGCACACCTTTGGGACAGGAGAGGGGTCGCCACCCGGCGGCCCTTATTGAGCCTCAAGGGACCCTGTCCCTCCTTCACCCCTCCGCCTCCCGGATGTGGGTCCTGGGAAGCGTCTGGCCACACAGCGCCTCCTTAGCTGGGGCTGTCAGGTTCGTCCCCTGCTGCCCCCTCCCCTCCTCCCGCATGTCCCCAGGAAGAAGCAGGACACAGGCGAGGGCCCAGCGCTTTATTACATCGATGGGACACAGGAGACGGCTCAGGTTCCACCCTAGCCTTGCTTTTCCCTGTGCCCCGGGGGCACTGCTGGGAAGGACCCCACTGGCCTGGACTGGATCCCAGTTTGCCACTGTGCAGCTGTGATGGCAGAACCCACTTCACCGGCTGGTGTGAAGGCGGAGTGAACCAACGCCCGTGACAGTGTGCAGCACGGTGGGTGCCTGGCGAATCGTACGTGGAAGCTGTGCACAGCACATTCCATTTGTCGTGCTCAGGCCCGGCCCTGTGTGTGAGCAGAAGGGCCTCATTTCCTGGGTGTCTTCGGTATGGCCTGTTAGGATCACAGCCTGGGCCACTTGTGGGTGTCATCGGGTCCCTGGGAATGTGGACATGGCACCCTTAGAGCAAGGGCACTGGGAAGGGAGTGGTGGAACTTCTAGTCTTTGTCAGCATTCCCTGCATGTCGTCGAGGGGCAGTCTGCTTTTGTGGAGTTTCGTAGTTTCTGCTTTTGCCTAAGACACTGCCATAGACCAGTGTCCTTGGAGTTCATCGTGGCTCTGCCTGTTGCTGTCTGGGTGATTTCGGGCCTGGTCTCTTCACCTCTGAGGCTCACCAGTCCCTGTGAGCTTAGCAGGGCTTGGAGGATGAGCCAGACGGTGGCAGCCCTGCTGGTAAGGAGATGGCAGACATGCTGGGTGCTGGCGCTGGTTCAAAAATGACTAGACCATGGAATCTTGGTGTGTGTGTGTGCCTGTGTGCATGAGTGTGCATGTGTGTAGACATGTGTCTGTGTGAGTGCATGCCTGCACGTACACACACACAGCCAGCCTCGGCTGTGCTCCGCTCGGGGTGCGAGGTCGTTGTGGCAGCCATCTTGGCTGGAGAGCAGGCAGAGGCAGGGCAGGGAGCCTCTGTACTTTCTGTGCCCCGCCCTGGTGAGCACTGTGCACGTTCGTGTGGCTGGGTCTTCAGTTGAACTGACACTGGCGGTTCGCGCTCACCTCTGGGATTTTTAGAGTTTAGTTGACCCGTGTCTTTCAGGAATGTGGACTGCACTCCTCGAGGCCTGGAAGCATGTGCCGGGAGGGGTCCTGGCTCCCCGGGGCCGGCCATGCTCAGGGACGCTGGACGCGCCTCCCACAGCCAGCCTCTCAGGGAGGTTATGGAACGGACACAATGCGGAGAAAAGCAGCGTAAAGGTCACGGGCACAGCTCGGAAGCTCTTACCTCGGGTGCACGGCCGTCTCCTTCCCCTGCGTCCAGGCTGAGCCGAGGCCCCCCGGCAACGCTGGGCCAGCTGTGAAACCATGACCTCAAGAACAGTATTTCCAGGAATCCCCATCTTAGCATCTAAGGGATTCCTGGGAAAACTGGACCCCGAGGACAAGGTGGGCAAGCGTGGCCGTGGACCCCCAGGCCCACGTGTCCCCAGGGCCCAGCTGGAGTCTTCTTCCAGCAGCGCGGGTGCCACATCTCACAGGCTGCGGCGCCTCGCTCCGGAGGAGCAGTGACGGGAACCTCAGATGCCCTGGAAAGTACCTCCCCAGTAGTCAAAGGCCAGACGTGGTGATGCTGTCTGCGCCGGGGCCATCTGGCACTCCAGCCCCCGGCCCCTGTCTCCTACGACTGCCCTGGGTCACGTGTGTTCCCTGGGTCTCCAGCCAGCGGGATGGCGGGAAGCCAGCTGGGCAGATCCAGTTCCCAGGGTCTGGCTGGCAAGTTCCCCGCTGGTGATCTCAAGCACGTCACTTAACCTTGGAGCCTTGGTGTTCCTTAGCTGTGAAATGGGAGAGTGTGGGCCCTCCTGGACAGGTGAGATAGATAAGAGATGGAGGGGGGAGCAGGAAGGGCATTCATAGGACTAATGGCAACCATCTGGGTTTGTCTTTGAAATAAAGGCAGGACCAGAGGAGGACTTCTTATTTCTCCCTCCTTCTCTCTGTCCCAGGAGGCACAGAGGTTAGGGTACGATATGTCCCCCTGGGCAAGGCACTTAACTGAGCCCCAGTTTCATCATCTGGAAAATGGGCCAATTACACTGGCTGCCTCCCAAGCTTGTGGGGCTTTAGGTAGAACCGAGCTGAGCTCAGTCAGCCTCCTCTGCTGTCTGTCGCTTGTTATGATGCCTCCGGGATGGAGCAGATATTTGTGAGGCCTGGACGGACGCAGGCAACAGCCAGAGCCACGGCTGGCAGCTCAGAGTCTGGACACTGTGACTCGAAGCCCAGCGCTTTTTTGTTTTGGGAGCCGAAAGGATTTTTAGGAATCGTGAGAATCACAAATGCTGAGTGGATCTCAGCGGTGACTCACTCAGCGTGGCTGCCCAGGACTCAGTGTTGAGAAGGATTCTGAAGCTGTATCTGAAAGTTTCAAGAATGCACGCAGTGGCAGCAGTGTTTGCCACAGGCTCAGGGGCCGGGGGTGGGCATGGTGCTGACCAGAGGACAATGGGGCACACAGGGGAGTCAGCACTCGCCTGGAGTGACCAAGCAGGTGGCGGCGTGCAGAGACCTTGGGCCCAGCACCGCGAGTGGTGGGCAGTGCAGAGCCTGGAAGCTCCGCCGTGCGTCCTTCCTGGTCCCCACCCCGAGTCCCACAACTCACCGCTCAGGTCGCTGGCTGGAGAACAACTTCTCCCTTCCCGAGCTACAGTGCTTCATCTCAGACTCCCAACTGACCAGAGATGCAGCACTGCACCTCAGGCTGGGAGACACGGCCCCGCTGCTCCACTGCTCCTTGTGGGCCGCTGCGGTGGGCTCAGCCCTGCGCGGGAGAAGGGGTTTCAGAGGGCACCCCGGCTTCTTCTCCGGCTCTGCCCAGGAGCTTCTTCTCCTGTCCTGGGACTGTCACCTGAGCTCTCTGGGCCCAAACCTCCACCTCCCTTTCCACTGCATCCCCTACAGATTTGGAAAGATAGAATCACACATTTAAGGTGCTCCATTAACTGGTTTTCCATACATCCATGAGGTTGTGCAAGCCTCGGCAGTCAGTGTCAGAGTATTTCCTCCTGCCTTGTCCTGGGCCTGGGCAGGCGCTGTCTGTCTCTAGATCTGTCTGATCCGACCCTGATGGCACAGTCACTTGTGCTTACGCCCTGCAGGCAGAGAGGGACTTGACTTTATGTATCGATGAACAGCTGCCTCCACCATGTCTCTCTGTTTCTCACTCCTCCCCTTTTCCCTCTCAACCTTCTAGAGTGATTTTTAAAAAAAATTTTTTTGAGAGGCAGAAAGATGTAGCCAGAGATAGAGAGCTTGCCACAACCCGGTCTGGGTCAAGGCCAAAGCTGGGAGCTCCAGGTCTCCCATGTGGGTGGCAGGGACCCAACTGCTTGAGCCATCCGTGGCTGCCTCCCAGTGTGCACGTTAGCAGCGAGGTGGAGGCAGGAGCTAAAGCCAGGAATTCACCCCAGCTGCTGTGATATGGGATGCGGGCAGCTCAGTTGCAAGGCTGGATGCCTGCCCCTAGGGTGAGCCTTCCCAGACTCACAATCCCAGAAGGGCTCTGATGGCCCTCACCAAGGCCTGCCGATTGTGCCTCTGGCCCCAGTGGCCACGCCCCTGCTCTGGCTGCACCCACCCCCAGAGACACCCTTCCGTCACTCTGGGAGCCCTGTGCTCACCCACCCGGATCCACAGGTGCTGTGCTGCTGCCCTGGCAGCGAAGGCCTCCCCCGGCAGTTCAGTGTTCCCCACTCCCTGCTCACTCGTACTCATCCCGTGCCCTCTTTGGAACCCTTGACCACCCCCGAAAGGTAACTGTCACTGATGACCGCTGCACTTGTGGACCGCATGGCCCACCTGTGAGGGAGGGGACCCTGCCAAGTGCACGCATCTCAGAGCTCAGGGCCCGGCAGGCGGATGCTGAGCGGTCGAGTGGACTCGGTCTCTTCTCACCAGTACAGGATTGTTCACGGCTGGGTCTGGCCTGGTTGGATCTCCAGCCAGTGCCAAGGACACTGCCCTCATCTGTTCATCAGGGAGCCCTGGGCCTTGTTGATGGGCTTGTAGGTTATGGTGGGCCACAGGGAAAGCCATTTATGGCTGATTTAGTGACTGTGTGGACGAGTCGATTCCTCCTCAAGCCCCGGGTTGGAGCTCTGGGGGAGGAGGCAAGGCCCCTCTTCCCTTTCCTGCCACGACCCCACTCCAGCCGAGGTCCCAGGCAGTGCAGCGGAGCCCCCTGTGGCCTTGATGGTGACCCACTTTCAGGGATGTGTGAAGGGAGTGGGCAGCCTCTCCCTGGACTGGGACTGAGTAGAAGACACACACACACCTCTCTGGGTGGAATGCGAGATCAGGCCCCAGGTTGAATTGGGGACGAGCAGGAAGCACTGGGGCAGGGGACCTCCGCACCGCGGCAGCTGCTTCCTCTCTAGTTCCTAGGCACGGGGCTGGCTGCCTTCCCCTTACCTGGGACCCTCTGCAAGTGCTCTTTCCAGTCGCGTTTGGCTGGGGGGTGATTCGGATTCTGCATGGCTCCCCCAGGCGTGGGAGTGGAGTCCACAGCCTGAGGAGCTTCCAGTGAGAAGCCAGGAACCCCACTGAGGGCCGTCGTGTCTCACCTGGCGCCCCGACACCACCCGCACTACCTCTGCTTTCCTGGGGCACAGCAGGTGTGGTGAGTGAGTTTGGGAGATGCGGCTTCAGCCCTAACTCACTTGGGGACACGGAGTGACTTGGGTTGTCCCCCTGCTGATTTGCTGCCAGCCCTTCTGTTTACAGGGAGGAGGAAGCCTGGACGCCATCTCCCACTGACACCTGTCTCCCTCCTGCTTGCGCCAGCCTCAGGCCCAGGGCTGTCAGGTTAAAGTGTAACCAGGTTGTTTCATTTTTACTATGTTTATTTTGACTTTTATCTCCTATTGATGGAAAGTGCTATGGTTTTCCGCCTAAGAGTGGCTGTGTCTCGTTAAGTATTATGAAGGACTCACCTTCCATTTAAGACTAGGACTGCACGCAGAGATGGCAAAAACGAAAAAGCAAGCGTCCGAACGACTGAATCTGGCACACAGTGGCTGATCCCATTTAGTCTGGAGGGCAGCACGAGAGGCCGGGCGAGGCTGCTTACCGCATCCACATGGGCGGCCAGGAAGGGGAGGGGCCAGGAAAGAGAGCCTGGCCTCCAGCCAGGGGCATCAAGGGCAGGCTGTAGTACACCTGTGTGCTGGGACGACTGCACAGACACCGTCTCTTCTGGGCTTAGACACAGGAACTGCAAGGGGTCAGTCCCACTCGCGCCTGGGAGAAGCTGGCACGGGGGAGGGGGGCTGAGAGGCGGCCTTGCCCAGCGGCCTTTCTCTGCTTCCGCGTCCGTCTGCTGCCCCTCCTCTAGCCTCCCAGTTCTGATCCTTTGTCTCTAGAATAGGACGATGACTGTCTAGGAGAGGCTACTTCTTGGATGTTTTGAACGTGCAAATCCTGTGCATCCCCAAGGCTCCATGGGAGGAAAATTGGCCAAGTGACCATTGTGAGGAATCACGCCAGGAGTACTGACCCAGTAGGGCAGACCCCAGGACCCTCGCGTTCACCTCTGTGCCAGATGTCTTGCCCCCGACCCCTCTCCCAGTGCTCTCGGTTTGGGACAGGCCTTGGCTATGTGCTGAGTGGCGAGGGGCTGCATCTGAGGCCATCCTTCCCCAGGTAGAAGGAAACACCCCTGGCAAGGTGGAAAGGGGCAGATCCAAATGGGACCAAGAAAGGAAGGCCCAGGCTTGGAGGACAAAGAGGTTCCTGCCCTTGGGTGTGGCTAGGAGGTCTTCCTGGAGGAGGAAGTGGTATGGCTGGGCTGAGAGGAATGGGCAGATTCTCTGTCTTAGGCAGCTGCTGGGCCAGCAGACGGCATTGTCCTGGCCCCAGCCCTGTCCAGCGAGGCCCTCCTTCCCGTGCGGGAGTTGAGGGGGCCTCCGGGGTTCCGTCAGCCATCTGGGTAGTTGCTGTCAGCAGGCCCCTCCTCTCTAGGGCCCTGTCTCCCCCTCTGGGAAAGCAGGCAGCTGAAGCAGGCGGCCTGGGCAGCTTACCTGGTGGTGGCTCTGAATGCCGGCTGTTGGCAGCTCGGGAGCCAGCTCCCGGCAGGGCGAGCGCTTCTCCCTCCTTGGCGAGCCGTCAGCAAACATCTCTGCGCCGGGGGACCTCTGTCTGCTGTGGGGAACTCCAGGGAGGGCTGGGTGAAGGGAGGCCGGGAAGGAGAAATAAGCAGTGGCTGTCTGGGCTTTCTCGGCGTCTGGGCCAGGCCTCCCTGAGCGCCTTCCCTTATATGGCCAGGCTGCTCAGGGCTGGGAGCCTGTGTGCGCTCCCCCACCCTGCCCGCGACTCAGGGGCTGGAAGCCACCTCTGCTCACCTGCGGCTCCGCTGCCACGGGGGCCCAGCTAGCACCTGGGACCTGTCTGTGATCACCTGCACACGCTGGCCACCCTGGCCCATGGGGCTACTCAGGGTAGAGAAGGAAGGAGGAGGTCGAGGCCAGTAAGGGATGGGGAGGAGCAGCCAAGAGGCGGGGACCCACCTGGTCCTGTTCACCTGCGGCTCAAGGTGTGATCCGGGCCAAGCCACTTTTCCCTCTGGGCCTCTGTGTCTCCCTCTGTCAATTGGGGGTGTGGAAAAAAGAAATCAGCTCTATGAGGGGGGAGCCCTGTGCTCCCATGTTGCAGAACTACAAGAGGCCAAGTCGCCGAAAAGACAGCTGAAGAGGGGGCGAGGCAGGATTTGAACTCAGGGCCGTGTGACGTCAGGGCCTGTGTTCTGGCCGGGCTGGTGGCTGAGGCTCTTCTTGGTGGCCCTATCCAGCCACTGCCTTGTGCTTTATGGAGAAAGGAACAGGGAGGCCCTGTGACCCAGCCCTCAGGAGACCACTCGGTGAACCCGTGGGAGCCGGGGCTGTCCGTGCATCATCTCAGTGTCCCCAGCGCATTGCACTGGGCCTGGCGCTGGCTCAGGTCTCAAGAAAGGGGTGCTGCGGAATCACTGAATGGACAGGTCTCAGTAGTCCCATCAGTGCTGTGGGCACCCAACTCCCTGACACGTTCAGAGGATTCAGCCAAATGCTGGATGAGCAAGCTCAGGGATGCCACCTTTCAGAAGGCTCACAAGTGCTTCCGCCCTCTAAGGTGCCTGCCTGGTCTCATCTTGAGGCTGATGTCTTCCGAGCTGGCCTCCCCCTGCTCAGCGCAGCTTCGAGGGTGGATGTGCTGGGGCCTGGGCCCCGGCTCTGGTCAGCCACAGCCTCTCTGTGGGAGAGGCTGCAGGAAGGGAGGGTGAGAGGGGCAGTGGGGGTCAGTTGCTGGTAACTGCTCAGAATCGGGCCTCCCCAAAGCACTAACATCCTGTCTGCTCTCGAGCTAGCCCTGGAGCCGCCTTCACCCCATCCATCATCGCAGCATCCTCTCGGACCCCGGCCTGCTTCCTGGGGCCCGGGCTGGGGGAGGGAGCCAGGCCCTGACTGTCAGCAGGGCCGAGAGACCGCAGCTGGCAGCTCTGCAGGCCTGCTTAGTGTCCTAGCAGCCGGATGGGCGGGGGAGGAGGCGCCTGCAGCCCTGCTAATCCAATTTGTTTAGATCCAGTCTCCGAGGCTCATGTGCTAGTGAGTGGTGACCGGGTGTGCGCTGTGCTGGGGTGCACGTTTGCACACATGTGTGGGGTGTGCCGGGGTGAACAGGTGGGCCGTGTTATGCAAGACAGGCCTGGGCCTTGTCCCACGTCTCCGGAACCCCACCTTCCCCTCCCTTCCCCTCTGCTCACTTCCAGCTCTCCCTGCGCTCTTTCCACCCACACGAGGTCCAGTGCCTCTGACCACAGCTGGCCGCCCTGCAACTCGGTGAGTTCCTTCAGTCTCCTGGGCCTCAGTCTGCCCACCTGGCTTATGGGTCAGTCCCTCAGCCTGCCTCCTTTGCCACTAACAGAAAGTGCCTATGGACGCTGGAACTTGATGGACTGTGAAAACAGTGGTTGCCTTTCTCAGCCTCCCTGGGAGGAGCGCTCTCAGAGCCCCATGAGCTGGTTTATCAGCCCAGTGCTCAGAGAGGCTGAGTGACTTGGCCAAGGACACACAGCCCAGGTCTTCCTTCCATTTCCTCCTTTCTAGGGAAGATTGCTGTTTGTTCCCTAGTTTTTCAATCCATTCTTGACCTGATCACGCGGCCTGGCACCGCTGTCCTGTCGGCAGACAGGGCGGGGAGGGTGCTTGGCTGCTGGCTGGTTTTCCCTTCTTTAGGAGCTCATTTCTTCTGCCAGCCTCCTTGAACTGCCTTCCCTCCCCCTACTCATTAGGGGGGCTTCCTTCCATACCCTCCCCCGCCTCCTCTGCAAGCCCTGGTGGTGTGGCCCTTCTGCGGGTCGGAGAGCGTGTTCTCAGGGACTCGGGACACTGCGGAGGCTCCTTGCAGCATGGCCGTGGGGCAGGTGGGATGGAGGTAGGCACAGGGTGTCGGGGGCACTCACGCGTCTGTCTCCGGGGCTACCTGCCCTCCGCTGGTCCCCAGGAGGCCCCCTCTCTGGGCTTGTTGCCTCTCCAAGTCCGGGTCCACCAGCCAGTGCCCCTGCCTGAAAGGAATGCAGATCCCCTGTAAAAAGGGTGCTGTGGCCGCAGCCCTGACCACTGAGAGTCCCGAGCCAGCTGCCAGGCTTGGAGGGGCTGAGGCGGATACCCAGCAGCCTCGGACTGAATCTGCCAATTCTCCAGGCCGCAGAGAGCAGCCATCGGCAGTCATTATCCCCGTTTTGACCACCTGGCCTCAAAAAGGGTCTCCTGAGAATCTCCAAGCTCGGGGGCAGGGAGCGGCCACTCCTGGCACAGCCGGGCCGCGGCTGGCTGGAGGGTAGGTGCACAGAGGCACCTCTGACACTCACCCCTACTGTCAGCCTCCCACGCAAGGAAGGAGCCTGGGGCTCGCACAGTGACCAAGGCCAGAGGGACAGCCACCACCAGGGGGTAGGAATGATTCTCGCGAGTGCTGAGGCTCAGGGAGGCTGTGCGAGTCGCCCACGTCATCTGCTGGTCGGTCTCAGGGAGACTGGAACCCAGGCTGTTCACGGTCAGTCCAGCTTGGGTGGTGGGCGACAGAATGACCACAACCAAAGCTCCTGTTGTCATGGTCATTGCAAAAGTCCCAGGCCCTCCCCCGGCTTTGCTCATTTCCAAGAAACACGAGGAGCTGAGACTGAGCCACACGTGGGAGCCAGACGGCCCCCACAGTGGGCAGCGGCTGAGGCCCCGCTCCCAGCGAGCTCACGGGCCCGTGCTCACACCTGGCTCTCTGGGGAGTTTTGTGGCGGCGGGGGGCAGGGGTTTCCTTGCCCATCGTTCCCTCTTCGTGTGTAGGTTCTGTAGCCTTTGCTCCCCTGGGGTTCCTACCCTGTGTTGGGTGAGAACAGAGAAGACACAGGCCCTGCCATCAGGCACACAGGCCTTTGAGCCTCGCCTTCGGCACTAAGCAGCTGCGGGACCTAGAGCCCATGTCTTCCCCTCTTCCCACCACACAGCCTCCTGCAGGTCCGTGGGGCGAATGTCGTGTGCCAGCACGGTTCCAGGCACACAGGAAGGCCCCGGAGAACAGCTGCGGTTTCCTCAAAGAGCAGCATGTGGGGAGGAAGAGGAGACGTGGGAGGGTGAGGGTCGGGGGAGGCATCCAGAGAAACGTGGGAGCCGTGGCCCGGGCCTCTCTCCCTGCCTCCTCCCTGCACAGCTTCCCTGGGCCTCTGTTCCCAGAGAGCCCTCCGCCCCCTGACACCAGGGCTGAGTTCAGCAGCCTCACACGCTCCCTACTTCCTCCCCAGGGAAGGGCGCTCCGGGGACGTTTGAGCAAGTCCTGGGAATGCAGCGTGAGGCTGGAACAAGAGTCATGCAGGGAAAAGGGAAGCGGGAAAGACAAGGGGCCTGGAGCTGCCTGGCGCGGGAGTCTCAACTCTTACCGGAAGTGGCTTGTGCCTGGGGGCTGGGATGAGGCAAAAAGACCAGGATCCTTACGCCGCTCCACTCCCTGGCCTTCCCCTCAGAGCACAAGCTGGGCAGAGAGGGAGGGTGGTGAGAGCTAGCAAATACCGAAGCTCCTGGGCACTTGCGGTAGCCATGACACCACCAGGTGCTTTTGATGTGCCCTGTACTTGCTCAGTGCTTGTTTTATGAAGGTTTTCTCATCTGATCTCACAATTACTGATTTATTTGTTAGGCACCAATCCTGTGCCCATTTTACAGATGAGGAAACTGAGGCTCCCAGAGGTAACAGCACTCCCTCAGCTGGTATGCGCCAGAGTGGGCCTCAGCTGCAGGCAGCAAAGCACACGTTCTCGTGGATCCTGTGTTCTCAGCGTCACTGTTACAGAGCAAGGACCTGGTGTCCCGGGCAGCTTGTTGCCGCCATGACTAAGTGTTACTGATGAGGGAAGGAGGGGGTTTTGGCTCATGGTTTTGGAGGTCCACAGTCAGACTGAGCGGCCCCCTGGTTGAGCCTGCTGGTGAGGCTGGAGGTGGCAATGGCAAAGCAGGTGCAGAGGGAGGACCACCCGGTGCACCAGGAAGCAGCGAGACCAGGAGCACTCACACGTGTCTATGTGGTCTCTCCTCATAAAGCTACCAGAACCCCATCGTGGGGGCTCCACCCCCACAACAACAACCCAACCGAATCTAATCCCTTTCAAAGTCCCTGCCTCCAGACATCAAGATTGGATTAAGTTTCTGCCCTTAATCCACTTACCATTAACATTAACCCATTACCCATTACATTAAGTCCATGTACCATTAACACAGAATTTGAGGACCAAACCTTTAACCCGTGGGCCTTAGGGGTACACCCAAACTGCTGTCCAAACCCTGGCACCTGCCATTTCTCGGCTGTGTGTCAGTCTCCGTGGTGGGGGGGGGGTATGAACGGAGAAGGCCCCCGAGACCCTGGCCATGGCCACATGTCCCCAGAAGCAAGGGGGCGTCTCATTCTGGTGGTAGTTCTACCTCTTCCCCCTGGCATTGCTGCTTGAGTGCTGTGATGAGGGAGTGGTTCTCCCTCCCATCCCATCCTCTTTGCAAGGAACAGGGCCCTCTCGGCACTTCCTGAAGGAGACACCTCTGGTGCCTTCTGAGAAAGATGGATGGGGGAGTGGTTGGGGTGTGGCCTAGGCTGTGTGATCCCAGAAGGAGTGGTGTGTGTGTGCGGGGGGGAGCGTCCATCCTTCTCTGGTTCTCAGGACGCACACTGGTGTGATGTGGTGGGGACAGGACTGGACTCCGTGATGTCCAGGGTCCTTCCAGGTCAGACAAGCTCCTCACCAGGAGTGTAGATCTCCATGGGGTGGGACTGGTTGTCAGGGGTTGAGGATGGAGCTCACCCAGCTACTTCCTACTCCCTGCCCTTATCCCACCTCTTGCTGCTCAGCCCCAGGCAGGCTCCAGTACCCCAAGGCTGAGTGGATTTTCTGCACCCGGACTTCCTGGCCGTGAAGTCTTAAGAGCATTGGCCTGGAAGCACCCTGGTCTCCCATGCCCATTGATGAGACTGTGCAGAGGAGCAGCAGTGAGCTCAGAGGGGTGCACCTAGGCAAGCACCCTGCCCTCTCCTTGCCCAGGGATCCAGAAGGGTCAGATGTTAGCACAGGGGCCTGGAGGGAGGCGGGAGGGAGAAGAGGGCCTTTCCGCCCCTTTGGCATTGAACATGGAATAATCATCACTTCCTTCTCCAAATAACTCTTGGCCCTCCCTCGGGCCAGATGGCGGATGTTTGGAATTTATGTTGTAAATAGTGCTGGGGGGGCACATGTGTTACTTTCTCCATGCACCAGTAAGGAGGGGAGTCGGGGAGGGAGCAGCAAGGGGGAGGAAGAGAGCAGAGGGATGCGAGGGGGGAGGAACAGGGAAGAGAGCTTGCTGGGATGCGAGGGAGAGCCAGGCAGGGAAGCCGCAGAAGAGAGATGGGGAGGGGATCCCAGGGTATAGGCACAGACAAGCTCCATCTTGAGTTCAGGAGCAAACCCTGAAGTTTTCTAAAAATAGCTCAGCCTTTTCCCCAGTGGGGCTGGCAGCAGGGACCACGAGAGGCAGGCGTGTCCTTTTATGGTAAGAACAAACCCAGACCCGCCGGGGGGAAGCTGGGCAGAGCCTGTGCTGCTGGCGGGAGCCCAGCCCTGGGGTCGGGGCTGGGTGGCAGCTGTGACTGGGTGGGATTTGCTGGCCCAGGTAGCTCTACCCTCTATGAAGAGAGGGCCGAGGTTGGTGTCAGCAAGGGTCACACCAGAAAACCCTGCACCCTGATGGATCCCTAGAATTGAGATGGAAGGGTTTCTAGAGCCATCTGGTCTACCCCATCTCCAGGAAGAAATCTCAGGTCAGGCAAGAATTGTAGCTCCAGGTAAATTGAGGCCTTGGTCCAAATTGATGTCTTCTATACGTGGGAGGGAGTGTGGTCATGGAAAAGAGCACTTATCTGGAAGCCAGGAGACCCCTCCCCATTTACACGTGACTTGCTGTGTGACCCTCTCTGGTCTCAGCTTCCCCACTGGGGCAATTCCAAGAGCTGTCCCAGCTCTTTATCTCTCTAGAAACTCCAAAGCTGAAAATGACGCTTGGGCATAGCAGCTGCTACTCTCGGGTTGGGGGGAAATCCATTGGCTGCCACTTTGTTCTCATGCTCGGCCTGTTCCCTCCATTGAGTCGGGGAAGTGGAATCCCAGGTGGGGTGAGATCCATGGAGAGCAGGCCCTGTGGGAGACTGGAGGCAGAGCATGGACAGAACTTCTGACTTCCGCAGCTGGAAGGGACACTTCAAGGGCAGAGGGGACCTTCTGTGCAAGGCCAGCCTCAAGGTCCTATGGAGGATTGGGGCAGAGCCGAGAATAGAAGCAGGGCTTCCCCTCCCAGCTTTGGCTCTTCCCACCTGTAGCCATGGTCAGCTTTCCAGCCCACCTCTGGCCCTAGGAGGGGTCTTCCTGGATACAGGAGCTGGAACTCAGGACCTGCTGTCATCTCTGACTACTTAGGAACAGTTCCATCCTGGCTGGGTACCTGTCCACCATCCCCCTGCCCGTGGCTATGAGGAGCTCCATAGTGTCTTCTAGAAGAGACTAGAAGGCCAGGAAGATGTCCAAGATGCATCCCCTTTGGCCATGTGATTTGGGCAAGGCAGCCCCTGTGCTGGGATTTGGCGTCTGCATCTCCAACAGAGCAGATAGGCCTCGAGGCCCCTGAGCATCCTTCCCAGCTCTGAAACGATTGTGCCATTAGGAGGTTGGCGTTCAGCCCTGGGAATATTTATTAAACATCTGCCGGGGTCAGCAGGTGCCGATGGATGCAGTGATTCTCTGTAGCTTTATGTCAGTGTGTGTGCGCGGAGTATTGCCCACGGCTGCTGCAAGCCTCAGTCCCAAGACCCTCTGTCCTTCATTCTGTGTACCCCTGGGTGGACTCTCTGAGCTCTGCTTGAACCTGGACCCAGGCAGCTCTGGTCTTGAGTGTCCAAGATGCCTGTTGGCCTGCTGAGGGCTCACTGCTCCTTGACCTCTGCCTCTACCCCATCTTCGTGACTGTCCGCTGCCTGATGCCCTGGTTGTCCCTGCAT